ACCATATAGCAGAGTGTTATGAGCATCCACCCGAATCTTTAACCGAGGAGTTTATCGCAGAATATGGTAATCCCAACCATATGAAGTGGTTTAGAGCTTTCCGGAAATTACATGATGCTGGTATTAATAATGAGACAGCTGTTGAGGCCATTACACGTGAAGATTTTAGAGATGATAAACTCACAACTGTCACTCGAGCTGAGAAACATCGAATTTGCCTAGAATTATTGAAGACGTGTACGCCTGTTAAAGATATTGATGATCGGGATAGATATACAGCTGATATTGTTAAATCGTGTTTAGAATCATCTAAGTCTATGAAGTATCTCCAAGATTTAGTACCAAAAATGGCCCGAGTTTTTGATAATACAGACGCGTCTCGTAGTGCTAAAAAATCTGGTTTAAAATCGGATAAAGCGAAACTTGGTTTATTAAATTCAGCACTTTCTTCAACTTATGGGATAAAGTTTAAAGCTACTAACAATAAACGAACCCATTATCATCTAGTAGGTCCATTCAATAAAGAAAGCGCCCCAAAGTTGCTACCATACCAAACGGGTGAAGGACAATTCTATGAAAATGGTGAGGATATACGTTATGGGTATAGTAAACTCTCATCTGACGAATTAGAGATCGCTCCCAGTTCTGATATATAGTTGCGTCAAGAATTGTTTGATATCATTTAAAACAGGTATTTAGGATCCATAATATATCTTACAAAGGGGGTTTTTGTATCGCTTAAAATTGATACTTGTAAAAAAATCCATTACGAAGACCATTTTTGTGACACTTAAAACTAATATCTAATAAAAGTGAGTATAATTATTCATCTGCTTCTATTCTCTGTGCCTTTTGTCTCTCATACCAATTTCGAAAGTAAACCCTCTTCGCATGTTTAGGACAATATCCCGTCCCAGAAATTGTTAGTTTTCTGCAGATCCCACAAGGAAATTTTGCTATATTCATATCATATAATTTCTAGTGCAATGAACACTCTATGTCCCGCCAACAACCTTTTCCACAAATTGAACCATCTCTTTTAACATATGGGCAGGTTGAACGCCCCGAACTGTCACTTTTAACATATTGATATGTTGAACACTCCGAATCGTCTTCTTTAACATATTGACTGATTGGATACAACATTCAAAGTGATTTAATATATAACGTATAAAGCCCGTTTCACTTTTTATGTAAATATATTTAATATAAAATCAATTTAAACTTTTCCAAATTATTTTGTAATAATATAATCAAATATATATTAACACTATACATCACACTTAAAAATGGAAACACCCCAGAAAGTAGTCAACTTATTAACCAAGAGAGAGATCGATCACAATGGACCAACATTCCGCAAACTAATGTGTAATGGTTTTAGGTACGTAAAAGATTTAGCCGAATTTCTACAATTACCAGATATTATAGATTATTATTATCCTGAGCAAATTAGATTCATGAATGTTCTGTCCTATCCAGCTATGATACTACCAATTGATATAATGGAAAATAGACCTGATATTTACAAGAAATGGTCCATAAGTATAGAAAAATACCGAAATCTATTTCAAGCATTATAAAAAATAAAAATAAATCGTAAATCTTAATTTAGCCTGAATCACAACTCCAAGGCTATAAATTTTTTCCGTTATATCCTATGTATTAGTAAATTTTAAATCGACATCCCGGTCTTGCTTATGCAAGTACATAAACTCTTTTTTTCTGGGTATGGGAGAAAAAAGCGTAATTAATTTTGATTTGAAAAAATATTTTTTATAGTGTATATAACCTAAAGAATTGTTCATAAATTACTCGACCTACTATAACATTAGATCATGTCAGCCATCGCGACTAAAATCGTTGAAAAATACAATCTCAACTCCAAGCTAAATATATCCGATCTCAGCAAATATACTTTAGAATTTCTTGAGAACCTTACTGATGATAGAAAGCGGAATCAAGCCAGAAGGCGTCTTCGGGATGGCTTTAAATTTAGCAGTGAACAGGTGAGTATATTGATACCTAACCAGAGAAGTGATAAAACTAAAACTATAAATTTTGTAACTTCTGATAGATATCAAGATCCTATTTCAATCCTGCAAGGATTAAAGGAAGAAACTATCGGAGAAATGGCACATCGAATTATGCGAGATAATCTCAGTGCTAGTGTTGTAAAAGCTGAAGCTCGTGCTTTAGCCAATTCAGCGCCAAACGCCAATGCTGGCTCATTATGTTTTTCCCGACTCCGAAGAGAACTAAAAAATCTTGGCACTTTATTCCAAATAATCGAAGCTACGAAATTTCTTGATATTACAAAAGATGCCAATGAAATTCAGAGAGATCGACGTAAATTTGTCAAGGCATTCGAGAGAATTGATTATCCAGACCACTTTACATTAGAATCAGTTAAGAAAAGATTAGATAAGTATGATATTTCTATCTTGCCCGATTTACAAGCTCTCGCAGATGTTATGATAATGCTTTGTATACGCCCCGCTGAACTTACAACTTTACGCATTACAGATGCCGGAGTAACAGGATATGCGAAGAATCGGGGTCAACCAGATATACCTAGAAAATTTAGATCTATGGAAAAGAACCAAGAACGTGACAGAGAATTACTCACTTGGATACAGTGTGCAATATCTTCTGGCCGAATAGATGATCCAGGTAAGCCAGGAGTTAAATAGTTTAATAAATTTTTAAAAGACTATGATTTAATTCCTAAATATTTACGTAAATTAGGAGCAGTTTATGCTGTAGTGACGAATAGAGCGAAAAATATGGCCCACGCATATACAATTGCTGGGGAAGCACTTTGGCATTCTTGTGACAACCATACTTCTCCAGTACAAAACTACGTCGTGGTAAACTACAGGAAGCGGAGACAAAAGCCTGAAGAAGCGAGACCATTCCATCTCTATAATGATGATAACTAATCACGCTTTTTTGCTTTCACCACTTTCACAGTAAAATCTTCATCATCATTAGATGATTCAGAACTAGACCCAGATTCAGATGTGGA